GACCTCAGTTGGGTCAGGTTCGGATAGGCAACTAAACTAACGCCCTCGCAAAGCTGAGAGTATCATCAGAATTTGAAGGCGCTCCAAGCCATTTGAAGCTTTTGAAGTGCTTTACCGTTGAAACCTTCACTGTGTCGATACAAATTATTGTAATTTAAGGAGTTGACACGTATGCCGCTTGCAAATTGCTCCACACTGGACTGAGTCACTAGGAGAATCCGGAGAAAATCAGAACTTATGAAAACTTAAATTTTCGAAAATATGGAACAAAAGCTTGAAAGTGGCTCCACGGGTTTTTTCGAAAAAATTTCTTTCAGAAACACCCCTTGAAATGGAAGTTTTGACGAACTAAACACCAAAATTTGAAATTTTAGCCAAAAATTCCATGTCCGACCTCCTCTGTTAGCTCGTTGCACAGTGTGCTGGCGGTTACTGACTGCCTACGATATTCGCACTAGATCAAGACTAAAAAATGATGAAAATCACACTACACCTTCATGCCGGGTAAATTTATTTGTTTTTGCCTGAAGGAACTATTCACAAGTTAGTGAAATCAAAGGAAAGAACTACTCAGAAAAAAATGGACGGTGCTGACGACAGAACCCTCTGATCACAGTGCTCCTGCAGTTTCTTTGTTCCACTTATAGGACTTCTCTGTTACAGGAAAGTTCTGTAAGTGCAAAAAAGAAACTGCAGGAGCCCTGTGAACAGAAAGTCCTGTCTTCAGCACCATCCATTTTTCTGTGCACGGGCATGACATCAACACCCTCTATATTTATTTTTTATTCAATTCATATTATTCAAATAGTATAAACTCTTATTGGGGAGCAATAAACCCGATGTTTACGAGTAGCAAGCCACGGTCGATCACCACGCTAAAGCCGAAAGCCATGAAGCAAACCTCTCAAGTGTTTCTTAACCGGGAGAGACGAAACGAAACACCTGGACGACAACCCGTCTCTCCAGTTGCAAAAGCGCGTAACTCCACTTCGAGATGAGCTCCATCGCCCCCTAAACCCACCACGGTAGCGACTTTCGGGAGAAGCAGTTACGTCGTTTCGTCCGGGAGTCCGAGAGCCACGTTACCGTGACAACTGGAGAGAGAAAATAATGGCCCGGGATGAAATCGTCGTCCCCCTGACGTAAGGGCGTATCTCGATTTCCACGTGAACCCTGTTGTCCATGTAAATCCATGCTTTCCAGGGCTCATGTCAAAATCAAGATACGCCCTTACCTCAGAGGGACGACGAAATGAGCGGGAGCATCTCTCGATTGATAAATTATTTATAAAGACCGACACTTCCGCTCGGAAGGAAAACACGGCGGGAAAATCACCGGGAATCATCGCCGGGCCCCGCGGCCGCCGCGGCGAAATTAATTGTCAAATTTACATCGGAAGCGTGGATTTCGAAAAAATATCGAGATGGATGGGGGCATCGCGGGAGGGGGGCTGTGATGAAACGACGGACCGCTCCGGGTTTATTGGTGAAATCTTGGAGGTCGTGGGAAGAAAGATTATGATGGATGCAAATCGAAACCGCGGACCGGGAGATTCGGAAAATAAATTAAGGCTGGATCTGAATTGCGTCGCGATCGGGGTGTTTTGAGGCCGCGTTCGTGTCGACCAGCTTCTGGCGTTACGGGTATTTCGGTGCGCGGAAGGAAAAAACTGGGTATGCACTGCACGAAAAAATATGATATTTGAAGAGTCGGTATACGCATAGGCGGTTCTACGGGGGTGCCAGTGGGTGCCAGGCACCCCCAAGCAAAAATTAAGCACGGTTATCGGAACCGTGAAATTACTGCGAGAATTTAAATTGATGGCCGTAGTTTTCAAAGATTCCACTGTTTTTTTTTATAGTAAGATTGTAGTTTTGATGGAAAGTTTTGCTAATTTTCTAAATTGAATTTACAGGTATTTAAGTGGGGAGGAAGGAGAGAAAAAGAGAAAGGAGGGTAGGGAAGGGATAAAACTTGAGGGCCGAAACTTAGGCCTCCTCTAAGCGACCGTCCCCTTTGGAGCCGGTCTTCGACGTTTTCCACCTCTGGGCACCCCCAAGAATGGAGGTCTCGAACCGCCTATGGGTATACGGATATACGGAAGAGTAGTTTCCGTGCTAAAGTACGGACCACAGTAACTGACAGAACCGCAAGGAATGAAAGTTGGCTTGTCGCAAATTTCAGCTTGAGCAGAAAGAATAGTAGTTTTTTTTTTTTTTTTTACAGAAAGTGCCGTAATTTTTCTTTAGAACGTTTTTACGTTGGAGATCACAGAAATCATTCTCCAGATTTTTTGAAGAGATTTATGAGTAATACTTGACTCTTTTTTTCTCAAACGCTCCGTACAGTTCGACCTGGAATTTTGTTTTTTCACGACACCAAGAGTCATACTTCAAGTTGAAAAAACAAAGTTCCAGGTGGAACTGTTCGGTGTGTTTGAGAAAAAATTGTCATGTATTACCCATCAATCTTTTAAGAAAAATCTGGAGAACTGATCTCTGAAATTCCCGACGCGTAAATTTTTCCTTATTCTCGAGATATTTTCGATGAAAAATGAACCCCGTGTTAATTTTCATAAGAGTCCAAGGAAGTGGGCACCAGAGGGCCGATTCTTAAAATTGATAGACAAAGCCATAGACAATGAAGACAAAAAGATATGGCGGGATCCTATCGATGAAAGCGGGCGGTTGCGAAAGACAAAGGAGGTAAGTAATAGACTAACTGACGGCAACCGACAAGAGACCATGACAGTCCATCATTTTCCTCCTTAGTCTATAAGAACCACGAATTGCAACCATCAGGATCGCTACACTCTCCCTAACAGTCTATAGCTTTGTCTATCAATTTCAATAATCAGTCCGAAGGCGGATCAAGCAATCAGAGACGACTTGTAAAAGTAGGGGTCACTGGAAAGTCCTATCTAGGGTCCAGACTCTTACTAACATCGACAAGAAAAAATACTCTTGATTCAGTCAGACTCAAGCTCAAATCAAGAACCAAGCCTCTTAATTTGAGCGGGTTTCCTTTTGATTTAAGCTTAAATCTGATTGAATCAAGAGTCCATTTTCTTGTCAATGTTTTCAAGAGTCTGGACTCCCGATCCAATGTGTTTTTTTTTTTTTTTTTTTTTTTTTTTTTTTTTTTTTTTTTTTTTTTTTTTTTTTTTTCTTCTTTCTAGTGGGTGCTACTCGGCCCGCAATTCAAATTTCTGTTATTGTTTTCTCTTTGGGTAGTAACGGAAGGAGATAAGTCGACGACCAAGTTGGGGATGAGGAAGCCACTCGAGGAGTGAATCTCAATCGGCAATCTGAACGAACTTGACAGTGGCCACGGGTGGTCCGGCTCCGGGTGGTGTGTGAATGATGGAGGGTCCCGAACTCCCGATGCCCGAGAGTGGTATGCGGAACCGCGGATCGAGACAAGNTTTTTTTTTTTTTTTTTTTTTTTTTTTTTTTTTTTTTTTTTTTCTTCTTTCTAGTGGGTGCTACTCGGCCCGCAATTCAAATTTCTGTTATTGTTTTCTCTTTGGGTAGTAACGGAAGGAGATAAGTCGACGACCAAGTTGGGGATGAGGAAGCCACTCGAGGAGTGAATCTCAATCGGCAATCTGAACGAACTTGACAGTGGCCACGGGTGGTCCGGCTCCGGGTGGTGTGTGAATGATGGAGGGTCCCGAACTCCCGATGCCCGAGAGTGGTATGCGGAACCGCGGATCGAGACAAGTGACGAAAGTGCGGCTGGAAACCCTACAACAATCACCGTCAAGAGCCCCCCCCCCCCCCCCCCCCCCCGGTTTCGGGGCCCCAAGTTTCCGGCCCGGGTCGGGGTATAAATTGACTCATGCTTGGCACGCGCCCCAGACATCTAATTAGTCACTGCACGCGGGTTATCGCCCACTCCTCAACCAGTGTCTTTCGAATTTCGTTCGAATCGTTTGTTGTGCTTATAATTCAATTGGAAGTGATGAAATGAGGAGGGAATCCGAGTTTGTAACGCCTCCAACAATTCATAAATGCTATAGGGTATGGCCCCTGGCCGATATGCGGTCTAGCCCCCGGAGGACGTCTCGCGCCCACGTGGTGCCAACAGGATATCTACTCGTCCGAAATTTCCGGAAAGTCCAAAAATAGTCCTGATTTTTTAAGGGCGGTCCGGAAGTACTGAAAATGTACGGAAATTCGAAATTCATATTTCTGAAAATGTACGAAGAAGATCCGTCATAAATACTACACATGTTCTTTAATAAACAATGGAAAAAAAAACACATTAGATCTAGAGTCCAGACTCTTGAAAACATTGACAAGAAAAAATACCCTTGATTCAATCGGATTTTTGCTTGAATCAAAACGAAATCCGCTTAAATTAAGAGGCTTGGTTCTTGATTTAAGCTAGATTCTAATTGAATCAAGAGTACTTTTTCTTTTCGATGTTTTTAAGTGTCGGGACTCTAGATCCAATGTGCTTTTTTTCCAGTGAAGCCTGGAAAGTCTGCAATCACTTGCGCGTTGATTCTTAAGAGAAGTTTTTGAGTGTAAGATCACGATCATCCAGTCAGTTAATCTTCAAGCCACCAATGAAATTTTAGGGCTACGTCATTTTTGTCACAATCCGAGCGAGATTTAAATTTTCGACTTTTTCCGAAGAGGTACCCGAAAAATACTGAATTTTTCTGTTGAGGAGGTACTGAATTTTTTGGGAATGTACTGAAAAAGTGCAGTGTAAGTACTGATTTTTGACCTGCCCGTTTTAAATAGACACCTTGTATACGAATGAGGAGTGATTCCGGGTTTGTGACGCCTCCAAAAATTCATGATATACTAGGGGGTGTGCCCCCTAGCGACCATGCGGTTCATCCCCCGGAGGCCGCCTCGCCTCTTGGTGGTGCCAAAATCATTCTCCAAATCGAATATTTATCTCCACCAAAGTGCGGAAGTTTACAATGAATCAGTAAGAAACTCATTCTTGCGTATTAACTGTATTATTTATTTATTTTGTTGCAGGTCCTATCTGATGGTGAGTTTTGCAGCTGGAATAATTTTCTCCCTATACCTCTACAAAATTTACACTGAAAGTTTGTGAGTTACAACCAGTTTTTCCTTTATTTCTGTTCTTCTTTTTAGCAGAGTTCCATGTGGAAGGAGAAGGGTGGGAATCTGTGACGGACCGAGAAACATGATAAGGGATACTCTGACACAGAAACTCTCCGCTAAAAAAAAGTTCAAGAGTAAAGTCCGTTTAAATGCAGGATCACCTAGGAATGATTTGTGGCAAATTAATTCCTTCGAGGTAAATGTTGCTTATCCGCGGTAATCTTAGCCAGGGTCCCTCCCAATCATTGCGGGTAATCGAGGTCTACTTTTGTTCCTTTTGATTTATAAAGAGTGATTCAGGGTTAAACGACCAGAATGCAGGAGCGTGTTCTATGGGTCCAAGCTATGCGAAGCTATACCAAGCTATCCAAAATCTACAATATTTTTATTTTCAGTGTGGCCGTTTAGCCCTGGATCACCCTGTATAGTCCATTTTTGGTTTGCACATCAAGAGGAGGCAGGGCTAATAAACTTACTTTCGGAGAGTGGATTCCTTTCTGATGTGAGCGTTGGAGATATCCGAGGGTGTGCTAATGCCTGCCTCGCGTCTGCCTTGAGTCTGAGATTTCCTTAGCCTCCCGGCCGACTTGCTGGACTGTGTTAATTAAATCGGGCTCGTATCCTTCCGATATCCTCCCCCCCCCCCCNTTCCTCCTGCTCCTCGTCTGCTTGAAATTCAAAACCCACTTTCAATGGCTTCTTCTGCTGCGGTGATTGCTGCCCTCGGTGGTTTTTACCCTCACCACGCTGCCATGCCAAGGAAGAACGCCGTATGGACATTCGGGAGTTGCCAAATTTCCCTGGATAAAACACTCATTTTTGAGGAAAGTTAAGCATATTTTTCCTTAAAAATTTCAGATGATTCAGATGAAATCGCGGAAAAAATTGTCTGAAAAATTTGAGGAAAAATATTAGCAACTTTTCCAATATATTCGTATTTAATCGAGGCAAATTTGGCAACGCCTGAAGGTTCATACGACGATCTACCATAGCACGGCAATACGCAGAACCGCGGGCGTGGGGGGGGGGGGCGTTGTGAAATCCAAGGGCGGGAAGCGTGCCGCCCGCCGCGCCGCGCAGAGGGAGAGGTTGAAATGAAAAATTTAAATGAAAATTTTTACTAAAATTGCAAAATTGATGTTCATTTTGTCGCAATATAGATTTTAAGGAGTGCCTTTCAAAGAAAATTGAAGGAGAATATCAATGCGACCACTTTCGAATTTCTACTTTTCGGATTGACGGAGTTATAAGCTTCTGAAGTTCCGCATCATGTCAGACAGCTTTCATTGACGTATTCCACTGTGCGCCGTGGCAATGAGTCTGACTCATTCACAACACAACAACACACCATCCTCAATCTATGCTGATTGGCTTCATCGATAGATTTAAAACGGGATCGCATTTCAAAAGTCTAAATGTATTGAATCGGACCTAGTGTGGTAAGTGTGGTACTCACTCTTACACATACTTTGAATGAAGCACTCATAATTTATTATATTATATAAGGCTTCAGGGCACAAATAGTTGGATCGCATTTAGCAAAAAGGAACCAGCGTGAAGGAACAGTGTTCTAAAAACGATGCTCCTTCATAATTATACAAAAATCTCCCAGAATAACGAATACTTTTGACTTTTCACTAAAAATTGTTACCTTTAATGGAAAAGTAATCGTGTAAATTTTCATACCGTACATGTATTAGTTATTTTTGAAAGAAAAGGCGAAGTTGCACAATATTAAAAACACTGTATTTGCGGTGGTTCCTTTTTGCTGAATTCGATCTAATAATGTAAATGGAAAACTCCACTAATACTTGTCTAAAAGCCTTGTCATAGCACTTTCTATCCTCTGAATAGGTTTCCGAACCTTATCTGTACACACCTGTACTCTCTCTATACAGGACCTCCAGTTTCTATGACCGATATCTACAACCAGAACCGAAAAAGCTCTTTGTTCAACATGAACCGAACTTCTTTCGCTAGGTATGAAGAGTGGGGGGAAGGAGAGGGAGGATTGCTCCCTTGTCCCCTCGTTTCGGCCATGAACTACGGAGGGAACAAGAGGCTCGGCTCCCCCCTCGAATTTTCAGGTGTAGGAGTCGTTGACTCGGCACGGGGAGCGCCCGGGGCCCAGGCCATAACCGAGCGATAAATAAATAGCTGCGGGGTAAAAAGGGAGCCTGGCTCCTCGGGCGGCGGTCGGAGGGGGAGGGGAGGGCAATTTGGGGCTTGCAATCGCTGGCGTAAAACGGCCCTAAAACAATAACAGACGAGCAAGATGTTAAACATATGGCGCGTGCTTCCGATTTCCGAGACGCTCAACTTCAGCCTCAACTTCAACTTCGCCGAGACGCGTCTCCCGACTCTTAACCGCCGCAGCTGCCGGTCCTCCGCGTAGCGTCGCGACGCCACCGGGCACACCGAAAAATCCCGCCAAGCGTCCAAATAAACTTCGGGTTAATGGTCCGATGCCTATGACAGTTTTAGACGTCCAACTACTTTCCTTATGGTTAAATTACCTTTAAAGTTATATTTTCAAAGCTTTTTTTCATCCGAGTGTGATCCAGATCAATAAATCAATAGATGATAGCAAAAAACAAGTTATGCAACAAAAGTAACTTAACGGTGGTACTGGTTGCATACCTACCTTCTTGTAGGAACTTTATCAAATGTCGTATCGTCCCATGGATATGACCGTTTTAGACAGTCAACTACTTTCCATGTGGTTAAATTACTTTTTAAGTCATTTTTTCAAAGCTCCTTTTCATCCAAGTGTGATCCAGATCAATAAATCAATAGATGATAACAAAAAACAAGTTATGCAACAAGAGTAACTTAACGGCGGTACTGGTTGCATACCTACCTTCTTGTAGGAACTTTATCAAATGTCGTATCGTCCCATGGATATGACCGTTTTAGACGTTCAACTACTTTCCTTGTGGTTAAATTACTTTTATAGTTATTTTTTCAAAGCTCCTTTTCATCCAAATGTGATCCAGATCAATAAATCAATAGATGATAACAAAAAAACAAGTTATGCAACAAAAGTAACTTAACGGCGGTACTGGTTGCACACCTACCTTCTTGTAAGAACTTTATCTTATGTCGAATCGTCCCATGGATATGACAGTTTTAGACGTTCAACTACTTTCCTTGTGGTTAAATTACTTTAAAATTTATTCTTTTCAAAGCTCCTTTTCATCCAAGTGTGATACAGATCAATAAATCAATAGATGATAACAAAAAACAAGTTATGCAACAAAAGTAACTTAACGGCGGTACTGGTTGCATACCTACCTTCTTGTAAGAACTTTATCATATGTCGAATCGTCCCGTGGATAATGACAGTTTTATTCGCTCAACTACTTTCCTTGTGGTTAAATTACTTTTAAAGTTCTTTTTTCAACGCTCGTTTTCGTTCAAGTGTGATCGCGATCAATAACTCGATCAATCAGCAGATGATAACAAAAAACGACTGATGCAACAAAACTTGACGACGGTACTGGTTGCATAGGCATACCTACCCTCTCGTAGGAACTTAAAAGCTATATACTTGATCGTATCGTTGCTCCTCTGACGCAAGGGCGTATCTCTATTTTCACTTTCACGTGTTCTGATACCGGTTTTTTTTTAATAATTTGATGCGTCTAGAAACGAAACCGGCAATATGAATTGCACTGTCTAGAAATTGTACAATCATATTAATTTTCTGCAAGGAGCAACCAAAATGTCTGGCTGTTTCTAACATTTTTCCTACTTTTCTTGCTTGATAGCAGAAAATTCACAAGAAAACATGAATATGGAAGCTTTCTCGTTCTTTCAATATTAAAATTACTATATTGCACAGTTTTTAGAAAGGGCAATTGAGATTGTCGGTTTTGGTTTTAGATGCCTCATCAGTCGATCGATTCACGTTGTGATTTTTCGATCGATTCATGTCGATCGAACCCATACCCTCCATGAATTCGGCTTCGGGTGTCTGTCACGTGATAGGAAATAAGGTTCGTCGAAGTCGTCGGCTCGGACTGCGACAGTTTATAATCGAACCGTTGGCTGGGATTAAGAGCCGACTGACTGAGAGCTCGATTAAAAATTAAAGCGCTTTCTCCAATGAAGCGTGTCCGCTGTCCACGTCGCGTCGGGCGTCAGACTATGCTGCCGTGATACGGAACAGAGTAACGTGTGCATTTCTGCATGAGCCACGGTTAGCTTGTGCCCCTACGTGTCTCGAGGCTCAGCCGGGACTCCACTTACGGTTCTCTTCCGTAACACGGCACTGTAGGGGGACCCGATAAAAAATGCCCGGCTTAACGGTGGCGCGGCGCGGGCGACAAGGGACGGACACGAGCTGGGTGCACCTCAATGCCCGAGCGTCCCGGCGCATTCACACCAGGCCGACGCACAGGGATCGAGTCAATAGGAGAGGTTAGAAAAAATTTGGAAACTTTAAAAGCTCATAACTCTGTTTTTACAAACTTTTGAGGCATCGAAAATGGTTTCATTCGTTTACTTATAAAATTTTCTTTAAGAATTACACCTCGAAATTTAAAATTTGACGAAATAAACATCAAAATTTGCAGTTTTCGTAAAAAATGTCATGTCCGGTCTCTTCGTTAGACTCGACCCGCTGTGCGACGCCGACAACGACGACGACGCGACATCCGCAATCGCTCAACAATCGCTTACCTAACAGTGCTCTCATTGTCCCAGTCGTTGACTCCATCGCTGCTTCGATGGTGTACCCGTCGGACGAACCCACGCACTATCTCCGTAAAAATCCGCGGCCAGTGTTCGAATCCTGCTGGCGCCATCCGCAAAACCCGCCTAAATATTACTCTTGGGCGCCTAAATTATTGAAAGCGTGACTGAAGTCACGGTTGCCACAGTCAAGAATACCGGGAAATGTCATGGAAAACCTGGAAATGT